AATTGGTTTTAATACCGAAAACCATTAGAGCAACAACAAAAAGCATGCATTCATCATCTTGTTTGTATTTATGACTGGTCAAATTCTGATTAGAAGTGTATACAATTGAATTAAAGTGATTATCAGCCCCAATTATCCCCCTGGAAATTCATACCAAGGCAATTTAAAATTCGTTTGACAAATCAAAGGATGTGCTTTTGTTATATTATAAAACAGAAGCCACAAGATTATGCGCCGCTAAAAACCACACCACTCCGTGAAATACAATAAAGAAAATAATAAGTAAAAAGGTAGCATTTCAAATATGCACCTACGTACATAACAATAAATGTTGTCAAGCATATCTACATATAATAGTTGTTGGCAAGCCTCCTGCAGGTATTGCATCAATTCATGAGTAAAGTTGATGAACCAAAAGCTCTTTAAGTATACCCAAGATTTGTTGATTCTCATGAAATCAAATCCCACCATCAAAAGTTTCTTCTGTATTCATTGTAATACTTGAAAAGGAAAACAAAATTTTCTTTAAGCTGTATATTTTAGAAATCACCGATATACTTTTTTTTTTTTTAACCTTCCCATCCCTTCTCACGCCCTTTCTACCCTCGACTGTCTGTCGGGTACTTGATTTGAGCCTTAGATCGGACAGCGAAAAAGACTCTAAGAGATCTCGCAGGTACTTAATGCACGACGATACAAATATTTTTCAGTTGATGTAAATGGAATACATTGAATACTGGGTAATGTCATTGCTTAGTTATTCACGGATTAATATACCAAATGGAAGCATCTAAATCTTGGAATAATAATTAATATTAGTTCACACGTTACAATGAGTAGATTATTAACATATCTAGTGTAAAACTACCCACGAGATTATTTTGACACCAAATTTTGATCCTAAACTATCGACTCTCATGTTAATAGAAGGATGTAAATTCAACAGATTACATCTGGTTTAGCGTTAAAGCTAAATCAGACTTGATGAGTTTCAATCAACCAGACAAGGCTTTTTAAGAAAACTTCATAAAATAATGAGATCACTAAACATATTGATTGAAATAACCTAGAACTCGAACCACTAAATCCCATTAGCAACATTTGAATGTAGATATAAAGGTCCATATACAAGGCAAAATATATAAGAGGAAAATCAACAAGCATAAATATTAACCAAGTTATATGAAAACACTACAGCCTACAGGTAGGGAAATAAGCATGAAAAGAATTATATTAATCCTTACCTTCTAACCAAAAACTCAAAGAATCAAAATAATGCAACAATACGTAGAGAAATTTAAGTTATTAGTCATATTTATTAATCATCTTAATCATAATTTTGTGAACCAAACTGAAACTATTCCTATATGTACATCAATTCAATGGTTTTTCAAATTTCCAACTCTTGAAAACTTTAAAATGTTCCATTGTCTTAGAATTTTTAGTAAAGGAGCACATTCAAAATCCCCTTGATGAATTTACAACGGAGTCCTGATACTTGGCTTTTAAGTTTTACTGTGTAGAAGTCTAACATATGTGTATTTTACTTCCAAATTGAGGGCCTGTTTGGCAAACAAGTTTTTGGCCAAATTTGTCAGTTATAAGTTTTTTAACAACTTTAACTATAGTAATCCCAAAAAACTTCTCAAAAATTTGAAACTATACACTTCAAAATATCCAAAAATTTACACACTTCAAAAAAAATTTCTTACAACTTTTACATGAAACTACTGCAGTAAAATTTTAGACAAACACCCAAAAAACTCATTTGCTAAACAGGACCTGAGTTTTCAAACAGTAGGAGAAATATAGTTATAGATTAGAACCAAATTCTCTTTCAATAGGAAAACAAAATTCATTTTTGCTGATCTAAAATTTTTCTAGACTTTTGCATCTAGACAATTTATCTAACGATTTATGAGTTGTAAAATTTTGTATAGAAGCTGAAATGATTTGATCCAAACGATTACTATAATTAGAGATTCTTAACTTATATTAGCAAAATCATACTAAGAAAATAGGCAGATGGAAAAGGTAAATAAATGCGTACACGAGAAAAACCCATTTATTTTGGTCCCTTTCCACATAATTTCTTTGGGTGTTTTGGCAATTAATAATTGAATACTTATTATATTCTTACTGTAATTTGCACTCATAACACCGGAATTAATAACGAATCCCAAAGTCTTTGTCCATTTATAAGAAACTACCGCGTGTGTCTCTTCACGGGACGTGTGAATGTGCGTACTTTGACAGAGTGAAGGCGAGAAGGCAAGCGAACAAAAAAATCAACAGATTATGTACAAAATGTGTCTTTCCTTCTCCCTGTAAACATGTTTCTTACAGTTTTACCTTTTTTGAAATGTGGTGATGGTCCCTTAAATTTTGGGACAGTTGGTAATTAGCATCTAAATTTTGGTCTAAAATAATTTTAGTTCATGAATGATTTTGAACCCACAATAATACTCTATTAGTTTGCCAAAAATTAAATACACGAGTTGAAAAGTGCATTGTATATTTACGCGTACTCGTGCTAACCAACAAAAGGTGCAACTTTCAGTCTCCGTTTACATTGCATTTTCCGTCATTTTTCATGAAAAAATTACTGTGGCGATTTGATGTATGTGATGAAAAAAAGTAATAGGGAAATGTAATCACGAAAAACGACGTAATTTTCTGGCAGAAAATAACAATCCAAACAGGATCTAAACGCGCAATATAAGTTATGAGCGATATACGGTATAATTACATGCATCACATATGTCTAAATTAACAATTCATTTAATCAATTAAATTTCTTTCATTTGTCTCATTATATCCATCGTGCCCGCATATGTCAAGGAATAAATGTCAAAATATTTTGGCTCTTAAACGTAGTAGACTTTTAGAGCTCTAATCATACATGGATTCATAATTTTCGAGAATTACTACTTACTGTTACATGTGCTACAAATGTCAAATATTACTTAAGCATGCAAATCAAATATCTAGTATTTATCCCATTAAAACAACTATCTAATAAATGTGCGTATAATTCAAAGATTCAAGAATGTCAAGGTATTTCAACCCTTAAACGTGGTGACGTCATACATCATTTCAAAATTTGCTACTACCATCTTCTTCTTCCAAATTGTTATCAATCACGCGTATAAACAAGGGTAAAATACCAAAAAACTCTTTGTGGTTTGCTAAATCAAGCACTTGCATAAACAAGGGTAAAATACCAAAAAATTCTTTGTAATTTACTGAATGTTCAATTTAACTCTCTCTGATTTGGAAATCTACAGTACAACCCCCCGTGGTTTTAATTAAATTGAAAATTGGATGGAAAACATCCAATCTAACAGTTATACGTGAAATGACAATTTAATATTGTCCTAATATATATGAACTCCCTATGATTTGTCAAATGTTCAATTTAACTTCCTCTGATTTGAAAAACTTAAAAATTGAATTGAAAGCATCTCACGTATAGTATGAGCAATATTTGATATTTCACGTATAATCGTTGGATTGAATGCTTTCTATCCAATTTTTAATTTAGTCGAAACTACAGAGAGTTGCAGAGTAAGTTTCCAAACCAAAGGGAATTAAACTGAATATTTGTTAAATTACAGGGAGTTTTTTAGTATTTTACCCTGTAAACAAATTTCTATCCAAATATGTCAATCCCAATTTCATCTTGCCTTATCCAAAAATTCAACGGTCATATCCAATCACTGAATGCCCAGAATAAAAAATTCTTTATTTCACCATCCAGCCAGCGATGAATTTTAACTCTCTTAACCTTTTCTAACAGAAGTAAAAAATTGGACTTTTATAAATTTAGATCTCAGAAGAAACCTCAAAAACCTAGATGAATTTTAACTCAAGAGCGTAATATCGAAAAGATACTACACCATTTCCCTACATGCTGCTCACTTAATAATAATAATAACAACGTATGAGGAGAACGTTTTATGAGCTTTTGTCTCCATAGTGACTTTTGTAGAACGGTTGAAGTGCACTGTGACGATTTCCCAAAGTCCACACCGAGAGAAGAGAAAAGCAAAGAGAGTGGGGAAAGTTAAAAAGGTACAGTAGGAGAGTCAACCGACCCTTCTCCGTTCTGTTTTGGCAGTATGTATATGAGGCTTCGAGTAGTCCACATATTGCGTATTATCTTCACCTTTTCTTGCCTCCTCTCTTTCTCTCTCTCTCTCTCTCTCACTACTCTCTAGTCCTCTTCTTCACACTCTGCAAAGACAGACCTTTTTAAGCCTCCTTTTTTGCCCTTTTCTCTGTCTCTCTCTATCTATTCTCTTCCTCTTTTCCTGCTTTTCTAAGTCATGAACAAAAGCTTTTCACAAGTCAAGCACTCATCAGAGATTCAGACACCAGCCGATGAACAGCTAAAAACCCTTCTAAACTAGGGTTCCCATAAGGCATTTCTCTTCTTCTGCCCTTGTAGAGCAAGAGAAAAAGAGGGTTTTTTTCTTTTTTTTGTTTGTTGGCTTTGTTTGATTTAAAGGGGGGAGAGAGAGGGATTGAGAAGGAAGTGCTAAGCAGCAAGAAAAGGTTTTTGTGCTTTGCCTTCTTTCTCTTTCTTTCTCTCTGAGAAAACACACAAAAAGCTTTCTCTAGAGAGGAAGTTGGAGACATTTGGATTTAGTCCTCGTGTCTCCTCTACCTCTCTCTTACTATTTTCATTTCTATTCTTTTCCCATATCTCTTTTTGGGCTTTTAAACTTTTTTTATTTGTTGCATATCTATCTATTTAATCACATACGTTGACACCCAATTTTTCCGGTTTGATGTAATTTTTGCTGTCTTAAAACTTCACTTGTCTTTCTTAATTCTCACTTTGAAAACAAGAGAGTGGCGTGAAATTAATGAATGCGTTTCCCATGTACACCTACTACAAACGAAATAACCCAAGTCCATTCTTGAGCTAGAGCGATATTTACCATACACATATCTCTATAAAGGTGAGAAGGAGGGAAAAAAGGAAGGATTATTTGATGAATTTTGGGGGATTTCTTGATAACAATTCAGTTGGTGGCGGCGGTGCAAAAATCGTTGCCGACATACCTTACAGCGACAGCAGCAACCACAACAACAACAACGTTAACAGCAGCAATACAAACATGCCCGCAAGTGCTGCAATTGCTCAGCCGCGCCTCGCTACTCAATCTCTTTCCAAGTCCATGTTCTCCTCTCCTGGCCTCTCCCTCGCCCTTGTACAACTTCTATGGGATCCCTTCTCATCATTTTCCTTTTCAAACTTGTATATGATTAGGAAGATTAACTTTTTATTTTATTTTATTTTTTAAAATTTTTTGGTTTGGACAGCAAACGAGTTTGGAGGGGCAAGAGGTGAGGAGAATGTCCGAAAACTACGAGTCCAATATGAATATTGGAAGGAGAAGCAGAGATGAAGAGCACGAGAGCAGATCTGGGAGTGATAACATGGAGGGTGGATCAGGAGATGATCAAGATGCTGCCGACAAGCCACCAAGGAAGAAGAGATACCATCGCCACACCCCCCAACAAATCCAAGAACTTGAAGCGTATACTCTCTCTCTAGACATATAACTATTCTTTTTCCCCAAAAAAAAAAAAGCCTTTTGTTTTTTCCAAATTTTTTGGTGTTTGTGCTAATTCAGAAGGATTGCTTTTTATTTTTTTTTTTGACCTATTTTTTGCAGTCTCTTCAAAGAGTGTCCTCATCCCGATGAGAAACAAAGGTTGGAGCTCAGCAAAAGGCTTTGCTTGGAGACTAGACAAGTTAAGTTTTGGTTTCAGAATAGAAGAACACAAATGAAGGTAAAAATTCCCCATAATAAAAGCAATCTCAAGGTTTGAATTTTATTTTTATTTTTTTCGAGTTCTTTGGCCATGACCGAAAAAGTTTGTTGATTGATTGCACCAGACACAACTCGAGAGGCATGAGAATTCAATCCTCAGGCAAGAAAATGATAAGCTTCGCGCGGAAAATATGTCAATAAGAGAGGCCATGAGGAATCCAATTTGCACCAACTGTGGTGGTCCTGCAATAATTGGCGAAGTCTCCCTAGAGGAGCAACATCTGAGGATTGAAAATGCACGATTGAAGGACGAATTGGACCGAGTTTGTGCACTTGCTGGAAAGTTTTTAGGCCGTCCCATATCGTCCTCGGCCGCATCCATGGCTCCTCCATTGCCCAATTCCAGTTTGGAGCTCGGGGTCGGAGGAAACGGATTTGCTAGCTTAAGCACTGTCCCAGCAACACTGCCGTTAGGCCCTCCAGATTTCGGGGTCGGAATCGGAAACCCTTTATCCTTGATGGCGGGTCCGACTAAAGCAGCGGCAACAACTGCCGGGACGGGCATTGAAAGATCATTGGAGAAATCCATGTACTTGGAGCTGGCTTTGGCGGCAATGAATGAACTGGTGAAATTGGCACAAACAGATGAGCCCCTTTGGCTGAGGAGCCTGGAAGGCGGTAGAGAAATACTGAATCATGAGGAGTACATGAGAACATTTACTCCTTGCATTGGCGTGAAACCCACTGGCTTTGTTACCGAGGCCTCCAGAGAAACCGGCATGGTGATTATCAACAGCTTGGCTCTCGTGGAGACATTAATGGATGCGGTGAGTTAATTGAATTATGATGGGGTCTGTCTTAGATTTGATTTAACTTTAGGTGGCATGATTCATGATTATGTTGTCCAAAATTCCTTGCCTTGCCTGGAATTTTGTGCTAGTGATTAGTATTATGACTGCCATAGCTCCTCGCTTTTTCGCGGGCAATTAATTCTGGTACTTTTTGACTCTGATAGAACAAATGGGCGGAGATGTTTCCTTGTATGATTGCAAGAACCTCGACCACAGATGTGATATCAGGTGGAATGGGAGGAACCAGAAATGGTGCACTTCAGCTGGTAACGTGCCATTATTTATTTCTGTGGCAGCTTTCGTTTTAATGAATCAACAACATATATTGTAGTATTCGCTGTGCTAAAGCTAAAGCAGCAGTACAGTACTTGCGAATTCTTGAATTCATTTTTTTCTAATAACGTGCCATCATTTCTTTCTTTATTTTCTGGCAGATGCACGGGGAACTGCAAGTTCTTTCGCCATTGGTTCCAGTTCGTGAGGTGAATTTCCTCCGGTTTTGCAAGCAGCATGCAGAGGGGGTGTGGGCTGTGGTGGACGTGTCCGTTGATTCCATCCGGGAAACTTCCGGTGGTGGTGCGTCACCGACATTTCCCCGTAGTAGAAGGCTTCCTTCTGGTTGTTTAGTGGAAGATATGCCCAATGGCTACTCCAAAGTGAGTTTTTCTCTTTTCTTTTCTTTTTTTTTTTCCCTCACCGGCCCTAATATATGAAGGCCGTAAAATCTTTTTTCCTTTTTATTTCCATTGGATGGATATATCCTTTTGAAGGTACATATTTCAAGTACTCATGATACCCTGAGGGTAGGGTTTTATGTTTAATGATTTTTTTTTTTTTGTCCAAATGTTTAATGAGTTGGTTGTAGGAATTGCAATCTGGAGGCGTAGTTGAGGAAACTAGCTAGCTAGAGAAATTGGTGGGTTTTTCTACCCGGTCAAAGTCTTGAGCCATTTCACTTTTCACTCCCCTCCCCCCCATCTCTCCTCTCCATTATTCTCAGTGATAGAGAGTTTGTCTTTTTCCTTCTTCGGAGTAAATCAGTCGGTGGGAAAAAGAGCATTCTTTCTACCTTACAGCTTCATGCTTACCTCACAATTTCATGAAAAATTTTGTATAGATACATTTTCTGTCAAAGTTGAAATATAAAAGCATTATTATTCTTACTTTGAGTAGGTAGGATTCAGGATTCAGGATTCAGGATTCAAGATTCAAGTCTAGTAAGATGTTCAAGCTGCATGGATTTCTTTATAGTATATTGAATCCAGGATGATTTATTATTGGACGTCTGGATTTGCTTAAGATGAGGAAGTTAATTAGTACTAGTACGTATGGTGAAGTAGCAGTCAGTAGTATTATTATTATATACTACTACTTATATAATTTTATGAGGACAGTAGAAGCGGGAATCGAGGCCACCTTCCTCCATAACAACAACAATGATTTAATAACCGGATGGAAGCCTCCATTACTTAAAATTTAGCACCTAGGGACACATTAATTTCATATGATTTGGAGGAAAAAGGCTTCGTAATCCCCCAAACTTTGGCGAGATTATTATAAAAAATTAAAAAAAAATGATTTGATGTTTCTATTCCAACTTCTGATGCTGTCTCGATCATCCCTCCAGGCAATATTAAAGTCTTGCAACTGTGCACTATCTGGTTCCAGCTTCATGATGTGTTTGTTTCTCTACTCTATATATATATATATATATATATATATAAGACCTTTTTAGTCAAACCCTGAGACTGGCTGTTTTTTTTTTTTTTTTTTTGTTGTCACGTGAGGACCTAAAAGGCTTTGGGCGCAGTGATTTAGTTAATTTGGTGGTAAGTAGTGAAGCTAGTTGTTGTAATTGTAGTGCTTGCTACTAGTGAAAAAAAAAGAAAAAAGACCAGTCAGTAGTGTCTTTGGTACATACATGCATGTCTCCCTCTTGCCTCGTGCCTTCAAATCTTGCAAAATTTTTTTGTCTGCCTATATATTTTATGTCCTCTTCCCTTCCCTGCCGGGGTTCTATCTTGTCCGTCTTTGAACCTAGACCCCAGCAATTCCCAATATTTGTCCGGTACCATGATGTCAATCGGGATTCCATTCATTAGCTCTTCCATTTTGTTTTTTTTTGGCACTTTCAGAATTGCCTAATTGTCATGCCGTCGACAATTATCGTGCTTTCTGGTCAAAGCATGGAGGACAAAATGTTATTGATCTTCATCTTTCCATTCTTCACTAGCTTGAGTTCGTCTCATCTCACATAGAAGACTAGTATGAAGATGCTTTGAAAATAGTTAAACACAGTACTGTTGTTGACGATAAGAAGATGGTTGGCTCGACTTTCCATTTGGGCTTGAGACGACATAATTAAAGATGAACTTGGTTTAAAGATAGACGCCAACTAAGAAACCAAAACAAGTAAATTGCCAAAGCTAGACGTTTACGACTTTTTAATACAACAGTTGGTTGGAAAAATATAAAATCTGCGCTTGTGTTTGTTTGTGTTTGTGTTTGTGTGATCCTGGTGCATGCACGTTGCTCGGAACTTATTTCACAATCAATCAATAATGTGTTGTTGTCCAGGTTACTTGGGTAGAACATGCTGAATACGACGAATCTATGATCCACCAACTCTACCGCCCGTTGATCGGTGCCGGAATGGGGTTCGGCTCTCAGAGATGGATCGCCACCCTCCAACGCCAGTGCGAGTGCCTCGCCATCCTCATGTCCTCCAGCGTCGCACCCCGGGATCACACCGGTACACAAATCTCTCTCAATCAAATACTAATACTACTACTACTACTACTATGTTGTTAATTATTAAGTACGAGTTTTTTTTTTTTTACTACAATGTGGGATGAAAACAAATCAAAAAAAAAAAAAAAGGAAAAGTTTCTCTATTACATTATTATAAATACGTTTTTTTCAATTAATTTTTTAAATCATTTGAACTATCTTTATATGTCGCATGCACCAAATCACGATCATCATGATCAGTAATACGATTTTCAAATAATCTTCTATCCAAAAAACAAACGGACGGCAAAATTGTATCGCTGCAAGTGTTTGCTAAATCGGAAAACGACATGCAGCAATAACTGCAAGTGGGAGGAGGAGCATGTTGAAGCTGGCGCAGCGGATGACTGATAACTTTTGTGCCGGCGTCTGTGCTTCGACGGTGCACAAATGGAACAAACTGTGTGCCGGCAATGTGGACGAGGATGTCCGAGTGATGACCCGAAAGAGCGTGGACGATCCCGGCGAGCCACCGGGCATTGTTTTGAGCGCAGCCACGTCCGTTTGGCTCCCCGTTTCCCCGCAGAGACTCTTTGATTTTCTCCGCGATGAACGCCTCCGGAGTGAATGGGACATCTTATCCAACGGTGGTCCCATGCAAGAAATGGCCCATATTGCCAAAGGTCAAGATCACGGCAACTGCGTTTCCCTCCTCCGTGCTAGTGTAAATATTTCTCTCTCTATCTCTACCTTCCCTACCTCAAATCTAATCAATTTTATTTTCTTTTAAATATCCTGATATTCCTGTGAAAAAATGGGCTCCAATTTATCCCTGATACATAGTCCACAGCCATCCACAGTTGCGCTAATCTTGCAGACTTAGATGTACCAACACGTGTGTTGCCTTGTTTGTATTTTCATTTTTTCTCAAAAAAAAAAATTTACTTTTTCGTGAACATTTTTTTTCAATCACCTCATGTACATTAAATTGTTACAGTATACATATATTTTTTATAAAACTCTAAAAAATATCAATCCAAACGGCTTAAATAACTCCAAAGGTAATGTAGTGCATGGGATCGAGCAGCCAAACCTCCAAGATTTTAGAATTCCTAGATTGTTTCTAGCAAGAAATGAAAAAAAAAATAGTAATAATATTAATTTTTGCCCAATATTAAGCGTTAGGCACCAATTTTTTTTTTTTTTTTTTTGGGGTTTAGACATCTATGCTAAGTAGTATATTTTTCTTCCTGAATTATTTATTATTGGCATGGGTAATAATAAGAAGTTGAAAAGGTTGAAAGACCCACAAGTCCATATGATTTTTGGGTAATAGTGGTCCTGGATAAAAGGACAAATGCGTCACTTGGAAGTTTCTTTCAGGACAACCGGATTGAGATCCAATGGTTCTGGCTCAGATTTAACTTTTCTTTTTGTAAACATATAAAAGTCAAAACACTTGACACCTGTCAGCTTCATGGGTCAGCCCATGACCTAAAAGGGAACCGGTTCGTGAAAAGTGAAAAGTCCCGCCAGAAGTTGACTAACTTGGCCTCGGGGCGGACGCTGACGTGTGATCTTTATTTTTTGAAAAAAGAAAAAGAATGGCATATTGTGTTAATATTACCAAGACTGAGGGGGGATATTGCTTTGCGTTTTGCAGGCTATGAACGCGAACCAGAGTAGCATGCTGATACTGCAGGAGACATGCATAGACGCGGCGGGGTCGCTTGTGGTGTACGCGCCCGTTGACATTCCAGCAATGCACGTGGTGATGAACGGTGGGGATTCCGCATACGTTGCCCTGCTCCCCTCGGGATTTGCTATCGTACCTGACGGCCCAGGTTCTCGTGGGCCCCTTCCCAATGGTCTGACAAACGGCCCCACCAGCCACAGAGTTAGTGGGTCCCTCTTGACCGTGGCCTTCCAGATTTTGGTGAATAGTCTCCCTACAGCCAAGCTCACTGTAGAATCCGTGGAGACCGTCAACAATCTCATTTCTTGCACCGTACAGAAAATCAAGGCTGCTCTTCACTGCGAAAGCTGACTCAGGAAGGAAGGAAGGACAGTACTATTTTGAGCCAATTAGTCTTTTTTATAATAATAAAAAAGAAAATCTGACGTGGGCATGTTGTATGGTCTTGTCATATAGGCTTTTTTATATTAAAAAAAATTTTTTTTTTTGGTTTGTTTGTTTATCGGGAGTGGAAAATTCTTAAGTAGATCTTGTTTATTGTAAATTATGCATTTAGAATCTTGTATTATTGTGCATTAATGGCTTGTACTCTTCCATAGCGTACAACGTAGATGCATCTAATACAAGTACTTCATGCATGGTTAATGCAATAGACAAAATTTACTTCGGAATGGTAGTTGGTGTGTTTTGCTTGGGGGTCTGGTCTTCTAAAGTAGTATTGGGGGGGTTTTGTTGTTGGGGGGGGGGGGGGGGGGGGGGGGGTTGGGTGGGGTGTTGGGGTGAGTCAAGAACGAACCGCGCAGCAATAGTCCTTGCAGGGTGAAAAGAGATGGAGATGAATGGTTTTAAGGGGTTTTAGGAGGTGATCAGTTTCAGTCTTCTTTGCACAATGCAAGGGTGGTGGTTCGGGTATTGACTCAGGATGACCCTTGAGTTTGACTCTCCAGTAGCTTTAATCTTGGATTCATATGGTATGAGAATTGTCGTTGAAAGTTTATATATTTGGTCATTAACTTAAAAAGTGTACTTGACATTTTCTTGACAATTGTGTTGTCGGCAATGGTATTTTGTACAACATTACTGTTGTGTTACTATTAGTACTTTGCTGTGTATGCTTTGTAGTGATCCAACTTTGTGTATTTTATTAGCTTGTAAGTGATGTAGAAATATATGCGTTGATTTACCTTTTACTTTTGAGTTATTTGAACCTCTATATATATATATATATATATATTGGCATTCCTAACGTCCATCACAAAATCTTTTGTAGATCGATTGAGTAATTTAATCATTACACTCCTTCCGTCCCATAAAAATAGACATATTTTTAAAAAAATTAAAAAGTGTTAATTATTATAGTTAAACCAATCGTTTTGACTTACTACTTTCCTCATTTACTCATTAATACTATATGATGAATCATTCAAATGAAATGATTTATATTGCTAAAATATTATGTTGCAACTTGCCACTTTTTAGTTTTTCAATTCAAGATCAACCTCATCAAAATGTTGCAATATTTGGCTCATTGTATAGTAGATATAGATATAATTTTTAGTTTTTATTCCTCCCACTAGAATAAATAACTAATGAAGTAGTATATTTGGTGATACTAATACAAATTAAATATAAGCATATTAGTAAACTGGCGAGATAACAATTTTTTTTTTAAAAAAAAAGACCTATAATTTGAGATAAACACAAAAAAAAAAGAGTAAATCTTTTGTTGTGGGGCAGAGGAAATGTAGTATCTCATTTAAATACAAGAAAACATATGGATATGTGATATTAGTGGTTAGTATTAGTCGATACCAAATAAAGATGAACTTCTTTAAGAGTAAAGATTTATTGAGTTAATAAGACGTGATTTGGAACACTTTTTTTTCACTTTCTCCTTCGAAAAAAAACCTCTTCCTTCAAAAGTATAAAATTCTTTTTATTTTTAAGTGCAAGTAGAAAGGGGTTGTTTGATAACTCAATTCAAACTTAATGGATTCAGATCTTAATATGTTTACACGCGTTTGATAACAAAAAATTGAACATCTGAATTAATTAAGTGACACTGAATTTTCTAGACAAAACTGGATTTCAAAAATAAGTGATAAGCTATTCATTTATTACTGAATCTGATATATACTTAAATGTATCCGATTTAATACTTAACAATTTAATAATTTAATGGATTCAGATTTCAGAATTCATATTTACATTTCAGTTTTCAGACTTTAATTTTATCAAACGCACCCAAAGTCTTGAACTTAAACGTCTTACTTACACTTCTTTTTCTCCAGTACCATCCAACTCATCTCTTCCTTCAAAAGTACATAATTCAGTTGTTTTATCATTTTTTGCACAACATCCTTGGCTTTAATTCAAGAACCTGAAAGTGCTTAAATTCTCTCGCGTAGATTCCACTGTGGTGAAAGAATCAGACTGACGGACGAGACCCAGTTGGTGATTTTATTTCTTCAATGGAGAAAAAACTAGCTTTCCCGAAACGCTTTATTCTATCTGCTGATTTACGTTGAGGATCGAGTGACATATACCTGAGGCTGTTTTAGACAGTAGATGCTTAAACAGCTGCAAGAAAGTGATGTTAGTGCTGGCAATCGTAAGCTCCATGGCCGACTATGCCAACCCAATCCATGGGTACGGTGTACCAATTGCTATATCAGCATATGATGAGGAATGGAGCTATTTCCTGCAAGGAATATGCTACTTTATGCAAAGCCTGTGAAAATGATGGGGGCTGGCATAACTTTTTCACTCTCCTCTGGACTCTGGAATTCAACCTTTCATATGCCTACCTTATTGATTACGTGCATGTGTACATGATAAAATTCTTTTGATATGTCCTTGAGTAGATTTCTGGAAATTAAGCAATACTTGCATTAGCAACACTTATTAGCAGGTGGCAGAATCAGGATCTTTATTCAGATGGTACAATATATAACATTAACTTAGACTGATAAGGTGTTGGTTTGTAGATTTTTAGAACAACTAAGTATTTGTTATTGTAGACCAAGGCTACAGTTTGAGATTTATTATTTTTTTGGGTCGTCCAATGGTATAAAATTATGCACAAGAATGCAAGATGTATAGTACTCTAATTAACATATTCAGCAAGCAAATAACTTGTACGCAAATGAATTGTCAAATGAATGTTTAGATGGCTTGTAATTCATATGAAATGGACATATTAAATATTAAATAAATAACATTTGCTAACAAAGAAAAGGTAAACTACATTTACAAGAAGGGGAAAAAAATAGCATCCATCAAGTAATATATTTTAGTTCAAGGTTCAATATTGTGGAAATAGTGAGAACAATTGTAAAAAAGTTTCAACACAATTGGAGGGTAGTTGTGGGTTTGAAGGGAATACTATCAAATTTTAGGAGGATAAGAATAGGACAATACTAAAATTTTTAAAATTTTTATAGACTATTTTAGAGTTTCTAAAATATTGAGGGGGTGCAAATGTGGCTTTGCCACTGCTTATTAGGTGCAAGAGTTTCTTCTAATATTTTGTTTTCTTTTACAAACTAATCTTAGGCACTAGTATTTCCAAGTCTACTCTGTTTGGATTGGTCATTTTTTGAAAAACAAGTTTTTCAACTACAATGCTACAGTAATACATAAACAAAAACAACCTCAAAAACACCAAAAATAACTTCAAAAATACCAAAAACACAAAAAAAAAAAAAAGCAACCTAAAAATTATAAAAAATAACTTCAAAAATATAAAAAAATAACCTTAAAAAACACCAAAAATACAAAAAAAAAATAACCTAAAAAACCCCATCTACAGTAACTGTTTTTCAACTATATTGTTACAATAAAATATTTCAAAAACACCTCCAAAAACAGTTAATCCAAACAGAGTACTTACAAACATAGTCGTGAGTCTTTAAAAACCCAAGCACAAAGTAACTACATTAAAAAGTTTATATATATGTGCAACTTTCAAAGTTACTGACTTATGATGTGTGTGAAGCTGCTACTTCTTCTTCTTCTTTTTTGGAGATGGTGAATAAGTAAATCTTATATGTAGGAAATAAAAATTTTGAGTTCAAATTCTCCTACTCCCTCTTCATTTTTTAAATCTCACTCGTCTTCTTATTTATTGAAAAAGGAGACTAGATAAGAAAAGGGATTCTTATTTCTTACATCGCCGTATAAATCCTTCTAACATCTTCGAGTCTTTATGGTAAAACACCGATTCATAAGGTATGGTTGGCTGTCTTAATGCACATACCTACATTAAGCTAATAGCTACGTACTTGTCCATGCTTTTTCCAAGTCGTCCCTTTCAGTATTGAAATTCCACCTTCATACTAATGAAATGACCCGCTGCTTATCTTCTATCCGTACTAGGTTGCGTCTTCTCCACTCTGATTGAAAGTAACTAGTTTAAATGCACGACTAGGGCTGCAAACGAGCCGAGCCGAGTCGAGTTTTGAGCTAATCGAGCCGAGGCTCGACTAAATTTTACCAAGTTCGAGCTCGAGCTCGAGCTCGACTCGAATCAAGTCGAGCCGAGCTCGAGCTCGAGCTCGAGTTCGAAAAAAAATAAAAAATAATTATTTTATTTTTTAAAAAATAAATAAAATAATATTTTTTTCTTAATAAATAATAAAATATTAAGGATATATACGTAATTTTACTATGAAAATAAAAAATAAAAAAATATATATATAATATACGTAATTTTATTATTAAATAAAAATAAAAATAAAAAAAATATATATATACCTAAACTCGCGAACCGGCTCGCGAGTTAACGAGCTTAATATTTTGAGCTCGAGCTTGACTCGAGCGGCTCGCGAGCGGCTCGATTCGTTTGCAGCCCTATGCACGACAACACTTTCTTTTCGAATTTTGATTTCTCTCTTTATACAACTTGATAAGGTAACATAAGATCTGTACATTTTCTATGGTAAAAAAATAAAAATAACACCAGCAATATAACCAACCCCAAACATCACACGGCTATTACATATGTCCATTTCATCCATCCAAAGAAGAAGAATACTCTATTGTGCGCGAAACTGAGCAGAGGGGGAGGGGTGATGGGGGGCCTGATGCGCATTAAATGAAATGACAGGATTTGTTGGGAAGGAAGGGTTGCATGCATTTAATGCAGAGCCATTGCATTTTGGCTTCATATCACTTTTTTTTTTTCTTACGACTAATCAGTAATAACCCAATGAATATTGGACGCGTATCGAGAGGTATCAGCATCTACTCCACTCAGCCCCAGAGCTGGAATAAAATGGACCGGATATGGGTTCAATTTCATCTGACACAAAACGGCATTTGCCCATGAGCTAGCTGCTGGGATTGTCTGCTTGGTCTGGCTTTCTAGGGTTTAACTTAATGCTACTGTAGCCTGTAGCCTGTAGCCTGTAGCCTGTAATGTATATGTGTGTGTGAATAGATATAGGCAAAGATGAAGCTGCGTATTTTCTTTGCGACAACCCCGTTGGACCGCAGTTGAATTAGGTATATATTCAGAGACGAACCAACGCGGCATAGCCGAGTTGGACAGGATGGACTTTCTCCCGTACACTAGGTTAGGTCGACGGTTCAAATTTGTATTATAGATACTGACGTTTAAGGAGATGAAAAAGTGCAAAACTACATAAACTTGATCTGGAAAGTTATAGGT